AATAAATAAAATAAAAAGTAAAAATAAAAATGTAGTGGCTAAGCTGGCATTGGTTTTGTGTGCCTAGAACTTAGGAGGCTGAAGCAAAAGAATCACTATGAGTCTGAGGCCAGTCTAGGCTATATGGTTAAGGTCAAGATCAGCCTGACCTATGTAGCTGAGATGCTGTCTCAAAACACAAAAACATTTCAGTGGCCAGTCTGTAAAAATTCAGGACACCAGGGTTGGAGGACACATCAGCTGAGAACCCTATTTTTGGTCTCTAAAACACATCCCTTCTTCAGCTGACCCTCAGAGCAGGACAGTGCAAGTGCATCCCGGCCACCACCATTTCCATGCTCTTCACCCCACTACAAATGCTCTCTGCCAAACTACTCCCTGGCACTGTATCCAAGACACAGTTCTGGAAGGTTAGATACTTTTTTGTCTGGTTGAAATGATCATTCTCTTACAAGATTCATGAGAAAATCGCAATTTTTTTTTTTTTTTGGTGGAACCAAGGATTGAATTCAGGCCCTTGTACTTGCCAGGAAAGTGCTTATTCTACTGAGCCATCTCCCTGGCCCAAAGTATTCCAAAATTTTTTTTTCTTTTTGGCGGAACCGGGGATTGGACTCAGGCCCTTGCGCTTGCCAGGCAAGCACTTATTCTACTGAGCCACCTCTCTGGCCCCCTCCCATGCAACTCAATAAAAACCTGTGCCCTATCCCTCAAATTTCTTTGCCTAAAATCTTTTTTTAAAAAAATCTTTTATTTTTATATCAGAGTATATTAATTGTCTTAAATCCTTTTGGAATAGGATGGGGTATAAATCAATAATAAACCATTTGCCAGGTGTAATGGCACATGCCTGTAACTCCTGCACTCAGAATGCTAAAAAGTAGGAGGACTGCTGTGAGTTCAAGGCCAGCCTGAACTACACAGCAAGACCCTGTTTCAAAAAAAAAAAAAACCAAACTTCTATTGATGGGCTTCAGGTGGTCAGCAACCTTTACTATTATAATATTAACATCTCTAGTAATTTTTGTCTTTTTAAAAAAGAGATTCCATGTCTTATTAAAATTGCTACTACTGGGCTGGTGAGATGGCTCAGGGGTCTAAAGCACCTACTTAGAACAAGATTAGCAAAGCACAGGGACCGCGGTTCAATCCCCCAGCACCACATGCCAGCCAGCCCCGCCCCCTGGTGGGCTGAGCTGGCCACACACAATAAATAAATTAAAATAATAATAATAATAATAATAAATAAAATTGCTACTACTGAGTAAGATAGTCTTTTTTTTTAACACATTCATTCCCTTTTCACAGTTATCTATTGTACACTTCCAATTTTACTTAATCTTTCAGGTTCTTACGCTAGGGAGACAATGCAATATAGCAATGAATATAAATATATACCGTCTTTAAAGTCTTTTTTTTTTTTAGAACCAGGGATTGAACTTAGGCCCTTGTGCTTGCCAGGTAAGCACTTATGCTACTGAGCTATCCTGTCTTTAATGTCTTATCTATTATTATTATACACTGTAGGGTGTAGAAGACTCTCTAGGGTGGCTTGTTGCCTATATGGTATAAAGGGGACATGAGGTGGGAAACAGCTGCTTCTGTCCTTCGAAGGAGCTCCAGTCTTTACCTTCAGCTTGGACATCGCCTTTTGGTTCTCACTGTAGCCTCTTCAGCCTTCTAACACAGACTCTATGGCTGTCAGCATGGATCCTTCAGCCTTCCAGCATAAAATCTTCAGCACTCTGGCATACACTCTTGAGCATTCCATTTCAGACTCTTCACCCTTCCATCACAGGCCCAACAGCCTCATGGTACAGACTTGCACTGGTCATTGCAATAAGCTCCAGACTTTGAACCAAATCCTTTAGTCTCCAGTGTACACCTTCTGCAGGCTTGTTCATGAAACTTGTAATCTGTTGTATTTTTGTGTATCTTGTGCTGTATGTGTTTCTCTAGTAAAACACTGATGGATACAATAACCCTTATTTCTCTGTCTTATTTTTTTGGTACCAGGGATTCAACTCAGGACCTTGTGCTTGCCAGGCAGGCACTTATGCCACTGAGCTATCTCCCTAGCTCAGAATAAGTAACCTTTATTTCTTTTTTTTCAGAACTGGGGGTTGAACTCAGGCCTTTGAGCTTGCAAGGCAAGCACTTGTTCTATTGAGCCATCTCCCTGGCCCCTCATTTTTTTTTTCCCCCATTTTCTTTTTTGGTACTGGTAAACTCTGGGACTTGCACTGCACTACGTCCCAAGCCCAGTAATGATTATTTCTAATCTTTTTTTTTTTTTTTTTAACTTTTATGTATTTGGTACAGGGTCTCACTACACAGCTTAGACTCATAGTGATCCTCCTGCTTCAGCCTTTCCAGTGTTGGGATTATAGGAATGCACCACAACACCTGGTCTTGGTGGCTGACAGGG